TATTTTGTATGAAATAGAAACCTCAATAACTGCTCATCTTTTCTTCTTCCTTTAAGACCTAAAGAAAAAAATCAATACACAGAAAACTCTAGTAGATTTATTCCTCTAAAGTAATACCTGAGAAAGATTTTTTTCCATAAAAATATGTATTAAAAAATTTGAAAACATAGAAGAATGGTTTTTAAAAATAGGCACAGGCCGGGCACGATGTCTCACGCCTGTAATCTTAACACCTTGGGACGCTGCGGCAGGTGGATCAACGTAGTGAAACCCCAACTCTACTAAAAATACAAAAATTATCTGGGCGTGGTGGCGCATGCCTGTAATCCCAGCTATTTGGGAGGTTGAGGAAGGAGAATCGCTTGAACCCAGGAGGTGGAGGTTGCGGTGAGCCAAGATGGCACCACTGCACTCCAGCCTGCACAAAAGGGGGTAAGACTCCATTTCAAAAAAAAAAAAAGGCACAAAAGCAAAACCTGTTTGATAAAAAATTGATAATGCAGATAAATCAGTAACAGAATAAAAAGCATCCGGGACGTTATCAAGAAAAATTTTATAAAGTACCTGGCTCCATTGGGATTATGGGAAAACTTTTTTTAAAACTTCAAAATCAGGCCAGGCACCATGACTCTTACCTACAATCCTCACACTTTGGGAGGCCAAGGCAGGCATATCACTTGAGGCCAGGAGTTCAAGACCAGCCTGGCTAACACAGTGAAATTCTCACCCCTACTGAAAATACAAAAATTAGCCAGACATGATGGCAGGTGCCTATAATCCCAGCTACTTGGGAGGCTGAGGCAGGAGAATCGCTAGAATCCGGGAGGCGGAGGTTGCAGTGAACCAAAATCATGCCACTTCACTCAAGCCTGGGTGACAGAGTGAGACCCTATCTCAAAAACAAAAACAACTCAAAAGACAAAAACAAAAAAAACTTCAAAATTATATAATTATCACATTATTAAATATATATTGTTTGACACACAAAAAATGGCAGGCTACAACATTCAGTTTTATATATTGTATAAACAATATTATGACGATCAATAACCTTTTCACCCTTATCTCCCTTATCTCTTATCGTCTTAGTAATATTACATTCTTTTACAATTTGTAAGCATCAAATAAACAGAATTTTATATTCTGCTTTTATCACATAACACCGCTACAACCCTTCCAAGTTATTACGCTTTTAGTTATAGGTTTCAAAGGCTATATTACGTTTCATCAAGAAGATGCTTAATAAAATGTTGCATGTAGAAACTATTTTTAAAAGATGCATATTAATGAACTGGGCACATCTCAAGTGTTAAAATTGAAATTGCTCTCAATTTATAAATTTAAATAATAGTCATAAATCATTTACTCAACAAATATTTATTGGATATCTATTATTTGCCTACCACTGTGCTAAATCTGGAAAAGACATTGGTGAACAAAACAAACGTGGTCCCTCTTCTTGAGGAGGTAGACAGTAAACAAGTGACTCTTACGGACAAAAGTTTAGAATGTCAGGGGAGCTTAGAGTGGAAACACTGCCCTCACCTGGCAGTTGGAGGGGAAATGGGTCCAGATAAGGATTTCCAGAAAAAGTAACATTTGAATTAGGATCTGAAGAATGCAAATGATGTGAAGAGTTAATTTGGTGAAGAAGGGTGGGAATAATTTTCTAGACAGAAGTAAGAAGGAGTATGTCAAGTTCAAAAGACTGACAGCACAGAGCTGGAGGGATAGAGGCAGGAGATGAGGTTGGAACGATGCTCAGGTGTCAGACTGTGCATTGTTCGGTAAGCCACTTTAAGGATTCCTGGCTTTACCCTAAGAGTAATGAGAAGCCAGCCAAACATCGTAGCTCACGCCTGTAATCCTAGCACTTTGGGAGGCCGAGGCAGGCAGATCATCTGAGGTCAGGAGTTTGAGACCAGCCTGGTCAACATAGTGAAACCTCATCTCTACTAAAAATAAAAAAATTAGTCGGGCTGCGCTTATAGTCCCAGCTACTTGAGAGGCTGAGGAATGAGAATCGCTTGAACCTGGGAGGTAGAGGTTGCAGGGAGTCGAAATCACGCCACTGCACTCCAGCCTGGGCAACAGAAGGAGACTCTGTCTCAAAAGAAAGGGCTGGGCACGGTGGCTCACACCTGTAATCCCAGCATTTTGGGAGGCCGAGGTGGGCAGATCATGAGGTCAGGAGATGGAGACCAACCTGGCTAACACGGTGAAACCCCATCTCTACTAAAATTACAAAAAATTAGCCAGGCATGGTGGCACACACCTATAGTTCCAGCTACTTGGGAGGCTGAGGCAGGAGAATCACTTGAACCCGGGAAGCGGAGGTTGCAGTGAGCTGAGATTGTCCCACTGCACTCCAGCCTTGCAACAGAGCAAGACTCCATCTCAAAAAAAAAAAAAAAAAAGTAATGGGAAGCCATTGGAGGATGTTAAGCAGGAAGACACAGCATCAGACGAACGTTTTTTAAAGTTCTTTCTAGCTGAAGCAGGCTAGAGCAGTCATGGAAAAGACCTTTCAGGATATGGTTTCAGCAGCCCAAATGAGAACAGATGGTGATGTAGACTAAGGTGGTGACAATGGAGAAGTAGGCAGAGTTGAGAGAGATTTAGAATTAAGCCGGCAGAGTTGAGAAAGATTTAGAAGTAAGCCGAGGGGCCTGGCGATTGATGGCAATTCGTGTCTATTATTTTAATTGCTCCTCTTCCATCTCAATCCAATGGATAAGAACCAGAATGGGCCCAGTCACTGGTGGGAGCTGTTTCTGAGATACTGCTTCTCACCCCGGATTAAAAACCATAGCTTAGCCAAACACTGAAAGGGAGAAAGGATCCAAATGTGGAGAGAGAACCCGGATATATGCCAAAGCTTAAGCAGCCGGAAGCAGAAATCTCTACCAAGGCCTGGGATCAAGAATTCTGATATAAGAAGATCAAATCAATCAAGTCCAGATTAAAAACAAAGGGCATAGTAGGAAGATTGATGTTTGTGCTCCTCATGAGCTGAAAGAGCTAACATTTATTGAGCCAGGAACTGTACCAAAACCTTTATATACATAATCTCATTGATTCCTCACAACAAATACTGTTACCTTTATTTTATCAATGAGGAAGCGGAGGATGGGGGACATATTCAGAGTCATGTGAGTGAGGTTCAAATCCAGGAGTATTTGATTCTAAATGCTAGTGCTTCTAATCAAAACCTAGACTCTGTCTCTCTCTCTGTCTGTCTCTTTTTGAGGCAGGCAGATCATCTGAGGTCAGGAGTTTGAGACCAGCCTGGACAGGCACAAAAGCAAAACCTGTTTGATAAAAAATTGATAATGCAGATAAATCAGTAACAGAATAAAAAGCATCCGGGACGTTATCAAGAAAAATTT